TCTGAACGCTGTCTCCGTGTAAAACATTCTTCGCCGACTCCGTCTACACCTTCGGGAACCCCTGGACCCCCGGGGCTGGACCCCGGCATGAAATCAATAAAAATATATTCTGTTTAAAAAAGAACAACCAGGTCCTTACCACACCCTAAGTGTGAGCTGACCCCAGAGAACCCCTCTGGCCTCATCTCATACCATCGCCACCCCCACCCCCACCCCCTCCTCCAGTCTGCAGCCAGAGGGAGCCTCTGACAGCACAAATCTGAGCAGGAGGCTCGCTCACTCAAAACTGTCGGTGGCTCCCCAGTGCCCTCAAAGCCCAAACTCCTGAGCCCACACAAGGTCCCGAGTGTCCGAATCCCACAGACAACCCTCCGGATCCAATGGGATCCTGATTCCAGCTGCCAGGGGGCGGCCGAGGCAGGGAGAGGTGCACTCACCCTTGGCGTAGGTGCTGACTAGGGTGGCAAAGTTAGCCAGGAGCGTGAGCGGGGAGAAGTCCGCGAGGTCCGCGATCTCCAAGGTGTGCAGGAGGGAGCGGAGGCGTTCAGCGCAGAACCTGGTGGGGAGGCCACACGAGGTGAGGGGGAGGGTGACGGGGAGGGGGAAGGACAGACAGGACCAGCAGCCCCTCCTCCATTGGCAGAGCACCTATCTCCCCAGTGAGGGCAGGGACTGGGGCTGCGCGGTCACCTCTGTGCCCGCACATGGAGGCGTTCAGCGCAGAACCTGGTGGGGAGGCCACACAGGGTGAGGGGGAGGGGGAAGGACAGACAGGACCAGCAGACCCTCCTCCGGTGTCAGAGCACCTATCTCCCCAGTGAGGGCAGGGACTGGGGCTGCGCGGTCACCTCTATGCCCGCACATTTACAGCGCCCATTGGCAGAGCTGACTGCAGTGGCACACAGAGAAATAATCACACCTGAGTCACGTGGTCCCACGTACACACGGTCACAAAATCTCACGCGCAGGTTCTCGTCAAAGTAGGAGCTCCACAGCCACACCCAGAATCCCAGCCACGTGATCCTGCTCGGCCACATGTCACACACTTACACCCAGAACCTCATCCGCCTCAGTCACACTCGGCCATCCTGCTGACACACATAGCATCAGAGTCCCACATGCTCACACAGCCTCGCAGGCTCACACACGCTGTCACACTCATGCACACAGGCCACCCAGCCACAAACACTGACCACTGGGCCTCAGGCTCTCACCCCTTGGGGACAGGCAGGTCATGGAGCAGGACCACCTGGCTCTAGAGCAGTGGTTCTCAACCTTCCTAATGCCGCGGCCCTTTAATACAGTTCCTCATGTTGTGGTGACCCCCAACTTCATTGTTACAAATTGAACATAATTAAAGCATAGTGATTAATCACAAAAACAGTATGTAATTATATATGTGTTTTCCGATGGTCTTAGGCGACCCCTGTGAAAGGGTCGTTCGACCCCCAAAGGGGTCGCAACCCACAGGTTGAGAACCGCTGCTCTAGAGTTTAAAACCTGCTCCTGAATGTCATTTCTTTGTCTGTCTTCCGCACCCCCTCCCACCCCAACTCCCGGCTGGATCGGGTGTGCCTCTGGGCTCCCCCTCCCGCCCCAGCTGCTCAGGTTGGTCTCTGTCTGGAGATGGGTCTGTCTCCCCACTGAGACTGTGAGCCTGGAGGGCAGGGGCAGGGCCAGCGCTGTCTCGGTCACCACTGTGTCCCCAGCACAAAGCAGGCCCTCGGGCACAGCGTGTGTGAGCCTGCGAGGCTGTGTGAGCATGTGGGACTCTGATGCTATGTGTGTCAGCCCTCACAAGCACCCACCCCATCTCTGCCCTCACAAGCCTCCCCTCTGGGGGGAAGCAGGCAAGGCCACACTGAGGGCCGCCCCACCCGTCAGAGGCAGAGCAGCCCGGGCCTCGGCGCTCCCAGGCCTGGCTTTGCACAATAGCCCACGTGGTGCTGGGGACCCCATCTCCGCCCTCACAAGCCTCCCCTCTGGGGGGAAGCAGGCAAGGCCACACCGAGGGCCGCCCCACCCGTCAGAGGCAGAGCAGCCCAGCGCCTCGACGGCCCTCAGGCCTGGCTTTGCACAATAGCCCGCGCGGTGCTGGGTGAGGGGGCAATGGCTTCCCCCGGGGCCAGTGTCCTCATGAGGCAGGGGATACTAAGTGCTTAGCTCATCCTCAGTCCTACGACAGAGCGGGCACTGCCATCACTGCTTTCTCATGAGCCCCCAGACACCTGCGTGAAAGGGGACCCCCTCCCCATTTTACAGAGGAGGAGCCTAATGCCCAAAGAGGACTGGTGACCTAACCAGAAAGCGCAGGAGCGTCCGAGCCCCGTCCTCCTGCCAGATCCCTGCTCCTGTCCTCAGGCTGGGGTTAGGGGAGCAATGGAGGCACTGGAGGGGCTCAGGGGCTCCCACCTGCCGGGTCTTGTCAGGAGCCCCTCCTTAGGGCCTGGGGTGGAACTACCTCTGAGCCCTCACAGGTGCCCTGCTGGCTCCTCCGCCCTGCCCACCCCTCTGCAAACAGCATCTCCATCCAACGCTTCAGGTAAATTCTCTGATCAGGCCACGTGCTGCCTGCCAGGCCCCTGCCCAACACAGGATCCTAGGACCCGCCTGCTCTGGCCAACAGGTGCCAGGCACGTTCCCTCGCCCCCACTCCTCACCTACACGCCTGACATTGGCTACAAGTGACCCCAGGCCACAGGTGCATGGGACCCGCCTGCTCTGGTCAACAGGTGCCAGGCACGTTCCCTCGCCCCCACTCCTCACTTACACGCCTGACATTGGCTACATGGAGACCCCAGGCCCCAGGTGCAGAGCACAAGGCTGCCGACAGGGACCCGACCCCCCGCCGGAGGGACACACCTGAGGGGCTTGCGCTGGATGCACACGCGCTGGGCCAGGCCGCTCAGGAAGGCGGGGGGGCTCTCCTGCACCACGTGCT